GAAATGACCACCAAAAAATCCCACAGCATTCACAATTAAAATACTAGGCAAGATTTAGCAAGGGTACAAAATTAGATTTCAAAGAGGATTAAAGAATAACTGAATTGTTTTAACTTAAGAAGTTTTGTTAATTGAGATATAAAAGTATATAGGTATAAGAAAACTCAGCAGTGCTAGGAGCAGGTCAAAGTGATTGTTAATCTCTTCAACTCCTGACCTTACCTGGTTGCTGATTTTTTTGATATGGTGAGAGATGCTTGTGGATGGAGAACGTAACTGCTTACACTGTCTGCTATAGCAGCCACTGCCACAGTCTGCAAGTTCCCATCACCACACTTCTCTTCTGAAGCATCTTTATAAAAATAAAACATCCCTGTGGTTAACATGTGAACTTAGAGTGAGAGCAATCACAAACTACAATAAAACATTTGTATCTCCAACACGCAAAATTTAAACAGATGAAATAAGAGTATGTCCAAAAGAAAAACTATGGAGAAATGCAGCTCTAGGAACACATATGAAAACACACTTGACAGGGCTGTTTGTACTTACAGACTTTGGTATTTGTGTTACTGCTAATGACCCCATAACAAAGTAAATACATAGAACTTTAAAATCTGTTTTACATTTTCGCAAATCCATATAGGACTGCCTGACTATTTTATCCTGCTGCAAATCTCACAGCAGTTGCTTTTAAAATAAGAAAGGAGATTACGAATCTACTTTGTAATTAGAAAGAACACCTAAACAAGCAAAATTTCCTTTTTTTACTTTTTTTTGTTTGTTTGTTTGTTTTCTGATACTGTGGAAGATGTAAGGCCTCTCTGGTAACTAAATCTGATGCACCATTACAACAAACATTTCAACCAGGAGCAGCCATGGACGCAGAAATGAAGGCAAAAAAGCTGCTTCCCTTCCAAAGGTAGGCAGGGATATCCAGCGAGATACCCTTGCCTCCCCTGCCAGCCCTTAAATGAGGTCTGGGTACAAGCAGATCCTGGCTTGACCCCTTCTGGTCACTCACGTGCACTGCATTGCATGCACCTGAGCTCCTCTGGGTTGGGCTTACCTTCCTACGAGGTGCACAATCACTGTTTCAGGCCATGACTTAGCATTTCCTCTACATGTCAGAAGATTCATGAATGTATACATGTGTGACATCACTCAGGCTCAAAGCTTGGAGCTCTGGCTCCCACTAAACAGACGCACTCCCAAGAGCCTAAGCTCTGCTCTGAAGTTTATGCCATTTTATCTATTACCACTACCTGCAAGTAAGAGAAACTCAAGTTCTTACACTCTATTCTCCTTCCCCTTTAATCTCTGACAAGTCTTCCTAATGGTATTTCAAAGACCAAACAACTACCAAGTCTTCTACATAGTAAGTTCCTTGAAAAAGAAGAAAAATCAGTAGTACTGTTATAGAATTCGCATTCAAGTACTGCAAAAATGATCTATTTGCACAGGGAGCACCACATAGGATGAAAAATGTGAATGTAAAAATACTATTAGCATTACAAATTACTGCCTATAAAAAGCAGCAGCAATTCTTCAGTCCCTTAAGGTTCACTGTCAGCTTAAACTCATATAAGACTACACTAACTAAACAGTGGTCTCACCCCTGCAGGTAGTGAGGGAGGAAAGAATGAGAAGCATTAGCATAGGAGCACAGTTTCAATGTAAGATTCTGAAATCATATTCCAGCCTTAAGTGAAAAAGTCTGAATGACAACTTGAAGCCCAAAACATTAGTCTTATCTTTAATCTCTTCTTCCTCAGGAACACTTCAGTAGTACCCAGATTTGGAGAATTTGCTCAATTTCTGAGATTTTTCTTTTTTTTTTTTTCTTCCAGAAGATACAGAACAATTTAATGTATTTTTCCGAGTTTGACAAAACATGACAACTAAGTTTTCAGTTTTATTCTGTGAATGCAAACTAGTACATAGCCTTTAGCCATCCAGCCTGGCTTACAGAAAGATAATGAATGCTTCTCAAGATGAGCTTAACATTTGTGCTTGTAGTTGCACACCTCAACACATACTTAGGATGTAGCACTTTACACACTGAGGGCAAAATCTTGGCAATAAAGTGAAAGTTACGACCCATTCACTGAATGGTTGTTGAATGGGGAACTGAATTTATACCTAATACTTCACTTCAGGCTTCACAAAACATGCTTTGCCAAATGTGGTCTCAGTTGCAAACCAGAACATGAATTCTCCTCTCTACATTCCTTGAACTAACTCCTCAACTCAAAAATGAATCAAGAAGATAATAAAAATTTGAAGCTGATGATAGTTCTCTGATGTAGCACAAATATAGTTATTAATGGTAAATAAGACAAGCAGCAGCTTTGTCCTTGACTTCTCAATTTATCCATGACACATCTAAAGTGAGCAAAATAACCCTTATTTCACAGAGCTTTGTCCAACAGTGGACCACGTTCATAATCAAAACACAGATCATTTAAGTATGAATTTTGGTCTTCTGACATTGGTTAAGGAAAGGAAACATACAAACAAGAGATTCATTAAAAAAATAAAGAAATCAGAAGAATCACAAGGGATACATTTAGTTCTCATGCCCCACAGTTTCAACTCACCCTGAGTGCCAGTGACATCCAGAAGGTGACCCTGAGGAATTATCACCTGGGCCATTCCTGGCTGGGCAGAAGGAATGACGTGAAGCACCTGGCCATTTTCTGACTGGCTGGCAACAATCATCTGTATGGTGATCACACAAAAGTATGAGTGGTGCTAGCTGCTGCTGTAATCAGGATGCAGATTGATCAGTTATTTTTATTATTAGAACAGGAAATATTCCGGCTGGAATTAGGGTCTATAAGTTAACTTGAATTTACATATTAAGAAAACCATCTATTTATTGTTCATTAGTTAAAATTGTTTTCTTGTTTTCCACCTTCTAAAAAAACCTTTTAACTGTTTAAAGGAGATGAAAAAAAACAAAAAACAAAAAACCTTAGGAGATTCTACAAAGAATTACACACTTATTTGAAACTGAAAGATCTCAAAGACCATTCATTGTTGGAATCGCTGCAACCCCATTCACAAACTGTAGAATTAATCATAACATGTTAAAGCCTTCAATCTTTACCCCCGAGAAATTGAGCTCTACAGGCAGCATTTTATGCAAAAGCAGACAGAAGAAAATACAACCTTGATTCTCATTTATTACACTTCAAAGGGTGAAGTGCCTTAAAATGACCACAATCCTTGAGTGAAAGAGCACTTACTTTGAAACAAGACATCTAAGAACTACAAATCAACATTTTTGAGCAAAGTAACTCAAAAAAAAAAAAAAAGACTGACAGAATGGTTTGGCTTCTTGCTAATATCTCAGTCCTAATGAAACAAAACACAGAAACTAATTCAGCAGATATAGAGAGAGCAGCAGCATGAGATTTCACCACACACAAGAACAAATGCTGAATAATGACAAATGCTGCTGTAATAAAATGAGTACAGCTGGAGTTAGGATCTCCCTTTTTAAGGAAGAGCGACAGGAGCATGAACTGAAGCACGGAAAAGTTTCACCTCGTTGCTCAAGACTAAGCACCAGGCTGTTGCCACAAGAAGAGCTCCGCATTTTTTCAGGGTCCTTCACAGGGCTCCATCACCTGTCTGTTCACCACCTGCCCTGTTGGGCAGCACTCACCATGTGTGCACTGGGCGCCCCGAGGGGCTGCAGCTCGCAGAGCGCCTGGCCATTGGGCTCGAGCAGGTGGAGCTCCTCTGCGGATAGAGGCGGAGGCGGCCGCGCAGGCGCAGCTGAGGACGCGGAGCTGCCCAAGAGGCGTACGGCGATCGGCAAGGCTGCAGGAGAGCCGCTCTGTCCCAGTGATGGATCCCTGGAAGCCATGCAGGTCACACGCTTTCAGAGGAAAAAGAGTAAAATGCGCTTTAAAATGCCCAAGCAGAGATGGCCGCTTTTAAAAATAAAAAAGAGCGTTTGAACGGTCAGGAAATGCATTATGCTCAGACGGTGCTCTATGTCTTTCTATGTAAGGAGCTGCTATTAACGCTGCAAGTCCTATTTCTGTTTTCTATTTTCATGCTGAAAATACAAATGCACATGTGACATGTAGTGATTGAGCAATCTGACCTGAGTTTCAAGTGATCTGAACCCCTTCTACACCAAGACACACCAAGTATTATTTTAATGAAGAATTCCACTGTCACAATCTCTCACATATTTCTCCAGTGCTGTAACAGGAGTTAGGAAATTCAATTACCAGCACGACACGCAGCATCTGGATATTCAGCAGTTCAAAACTGAATGGCACAAGATCACGACAGAAGGAATTTCTGTGCTTAATAAAGACAGACGATGTATAAACAAACAATAAATATACTGATGCGATACTGAACTGTAAATTAATCAGATGATGCAAAGAAAGCCCCTAGAGAACCAGGACTTCTGTATTTCATCTGGAAACCCTGACTGCACATTTCTGACTGCCCGGTGCTGCTGAGGTTGCCTACAAACAAAACATTAGATCTTTCCATAACGACATCATGGTCCGTTTTCTTCCATTACAGGATGACCTGGAAAAGTTACAGAACTATTTCAGTACTTTTGCCTCAACCAAGATACTGCTGCAGGCTTTTTTTGGTCTTAAAAATCTAGTCTGACAATTTCCAGCCCTGCTGCCCGCTCACAACAAATCCCTCAAGATAAAGACCATTGCTTCTTTATCACTTTATTATTCACTGCAGAAAAACGTCAGCGTGTTGCTCCAGGAGTCTGTTTTAGTGCCTTGTGTGAGACAATTTGCTCGACTTGTTGCATACACAGATAAGCACACAAAGACTCTTGTGCTTCCCATCCAGTTCACAAGCACTTATCTCTTCACATTCTAAGATATTTGATATTTAAAGATACGCCAGCACTGCTTTATGAAAAAATTAGTCACCTCGTTCCATAATAACACGCAGGACTTCAATTACACAAATCTGTCATGCAGCCATCTTGAAGTATATTGTGTTTGTTTTGAACAGGTAAAAAGCAATATTTAAATAACAGGCAGTTACTGTTGTTAGCCCCACAGCTCTAAGCTTTGGACAGGAAAAACAGCAGATATTTAGGAAGAAAGGTTGGCATGAACCAAGAGATGAAGGACAGAACAACAGAGCTCCCAGCACTTGGGAGATTTATCTCTCATCCCAAAAAAAAAGCCCATGGCAAACCTCCGAGCAAACAGAGAATATTAAACAGTGAATTGCCACTGCCACAGTTTAAGGCTTGGACAAAACAGTACAGCCTTTAAAGAGTGACCAGTCCCAAATATTTACAAGCAGATAGACAAAACGATAAATTCACCAAGCCCTGACATTTACTAAAGCATATAATATACTCCAGTACATACACAGTATGCCAAAGTGAAGAGGAGACAATTCCTGGAGTTTGGGTGGAGGAAGGAGAAAGGCACTTAGTTTTTCCCTCCAGTATTTATCTTAAAGACAGGCAGCAGTATGTGAGTACAACTCCTAACAGCTTTATATTCTTCACAATACAGACAATCTCTTCAGTAAGACCACCTTGGCTATGGCTTCTCAACCATTTACAGCTTTATTGAAGAGAATGTAAAAGGCTAGAAAACCTTTTGGAAAGAGCTGTATGGCCTTGGAAGCACAAATGTATTTTGCTCTGTAAAGATACAAAGACCACAGGCAGAGTAAACTCACATCTTGGCTTCTAGAGATGAATAAAGCATTGTACTTGTATGAACAACACTGTGAAGTTAAGCTGCTCATATGTCCAAAAGAATAAAAATTTTAATCTAAAGCAGATTTAATTTTCCATTCAATTTTCAAGTGAGGATATTCCAAACCAAGCTCTAAATAAAGTTACTAACTTTTACTAAGTATTTTGGAGCTTTGGATCTGAGAACAATTATGAGACATTTCAATTTAAATACACAAAGCATACTGAAAGCAAATGAAAAAGATTTATAAGACTTATAACAAAACGCACACTTGACAGAGCTGGATTTCGTTATCACTCGCGTCACTCAACCAACTAGATGTTGTTTCCCCCAGCTAGATGTAAAGATACGTCAGTTTAGCTGAAGCATGAAGTAGATTCAGTTCTTAGAGGTAACCTGAAGAGAATGACAGCATGCTCTGAGTGCTCTGCAGAGCACAAGGACAGCTGCACGAGGATGGACCAGCAGTCCAAGCAGCCAATGTCCTCCAGCTCACAGGCTGGTTAATAACAAAGCCCAAGGAAAAATGATAGCAGTAGAGCAAATACACAGCGATATTCTCCTGGTATAAACAGCCCAGAAATACCTTGAGCCTCAAGTTGTACCTTTGCATTTTAAAGAAGCCCTCAGTCTATTTCTGTTTGGTGGCTCTGCCTAACCACTGCTCTAATCCACGGAAATCAGGGGCATGCGTACCACCCTGGAATGAACTGTGGTGTAACCAGTCAGGCTTCACAAGCCTCACTTCTGTGCAATCCCAAATAGAAAGATGATTTTTTTTTCATCCTAGAGAGATATATTTACATAGATGCTTAAAATCATATACATAGTTAATACAGTTTACAGCTAAACAAGTATTACTAACAAATTCCTCAAATAAGACAGCTTCCTGTGTATAGATCTATACATGGATATTTGTCATAAATTAGTAAATAATACACAGCTATTTATTCCTAGATGTAGCACACAACAATTTCAAATAGAACACACCAGCAACACACATTTTTACCAGGAAGCTCAGGATAAATGTAGGAACTTAAGGTCAGTGCAGAACTGAGGATCAGCGGCAGCACCCCCCAGAGAGCCCCAGGCCGCTCCCAGCCCAGCACTTTGAACCCCACAGGACTGCTTCCCTTACCCTGCCTGCCCCACAGGGAATGCTCTGCTTCAAATAAAGCAACATCTACGGCCACTTCAGTCCAACTCCACAAAGAGGGTAAACAGTCACAAACCACAGCACACACAGGTAAGCACAACTCCATCACCAGAGCGTCAACGGCAGCCTCATAGACAGGATTTTCAAGAGAACCAACGTGATGCACTGCAGTCCAGCCTATAGCATTGATACCAGCAAAATAGTGCCAGAGGCAAATGTGCCGGTCGCTCAGGATTGCTCGATACTGTGAGGGTGGTGAGACACTGGAACAAGTGTTCCACTGGCCAGGGAGACCATGGAAGCATTCAAGGCCAGACTGGATGGAGCCTCAAGCAACCTGGTCTAAGTGGAATTGTCCCTGCCTACAGCAGCAGGATTGGAACCAGGTGATCTTAAGGGCCCCTTCCAACCCAAACATTCTATGAGTCTATGAAAGGCAGATCCCAGCTGCTCCAAGCCTTTCCTCCTCCTAATACTGCAGACTGCAGACACACCCACCCCAAGGGCAGCACTCCAGGTGCTCTCAGCAGCAGGTGCTGCTCTGCCCAAAGCCGTGAGGCCCAGAGAAGTGCTGCATCCTGCAGCCCCACGTCTAACTTCTAATGCTAAGGCAACGGTGTGGCTGTCAGTCTTAGAAAGAAAACTAAAGTATTACAGAAACAAAAGAGATGAACTCGCGGTGACAAGAAGCATGTTGGATTACATTGATGTATGGGAATCCCCTCAGACATCTCAGTGTGTGCCCGTGTCAAAAAAAGGGAAAAAAGCTGACTGTACCAATCAGTGCCTTCAGCTCTGCTCACAGCAATGCTGCCCGTTCCCTTCAGCCTGCGCTCCGGGTGTACGGATGGAGGCCTTGTTGCTCCACCACTATTATTACCAAATAATAATGCAAAGGTCTTACAAAAAGACTTAAAATCGCAAGGCTTACCACAATTACACACTCCCTCCAGAGCTGCCCCTGAGGACGCTTCTCCAGCAGGTCAGCTCCCACACGGGGCGCGAGTCACACACAGTAACGCCGTAACGGGTGGGCGAGGGCACGGCGACCCCCCAGCGACGACTTACAAGCAGGCGAACGAACGCGTAGCGGGAGCGCACGGCAGGTGCGGGACAGCTCACGGCACCGTAACGCCGGAGGGGCACCGCGGCGCCCGCCTCACACGGGAGCGGCTGTACCGACGGGACCGGCGCGGCCCGCCTCACGGACCCCGCAGCCCGGGAGGCGCGAACGCGGGGCGCTCGCGGCGGCGCCCCTCGCCTCCTCACACGGGGCGCGGCGGGCTGGCGGCCACCGCCGCCCCTCCTTCGCACCCCCGGCCCCGCTCACCGCCGCCTCCTCGCGGCGAGGGAGGCGCGGGGACAGCCCCGCGGCGCCCGGTCAGACGCCGCGCCCCCCCTGCCCCTGCCCCTGCCCCAGCCCCGCGCCCCGCCCGCCCCACCTCGCCGGGGCTCCCGCCGGCGCCGCCATGGAGGCCGCCCCTCGGCGCACGCGCGGTGCCCGGCGGCGGGAGGGGCTCCGGCACGGCGCGCGGGCTGCTGGGGGCCGCGGTACCGGCGGCAGCATGGCGCAGCTCACCGCGAGGTTCCGCGCCGAGAACCCCAGGTGAGGCGCGGCCGGGCCGGGGGGTGTGTGGGGGGGACCGGTTACGGGACGGGACCGCTAACGGCGCCGCGTGCCCGCAGGTACGCCGTAGAGGACGCGCCCTTCTCCGTGCCCGCGGCCTCCGAGACCGCCGACCTCAGCCGCCTCATCAACAAGCTGCTGGCGGCGCGCGGCGGTAGGTGCCGCGGGAGGGGCCCGGCCCGGAGCAGCTCGGTACTCAGCGCCGGGCCCCTCGCCCGTCCTCAACGGGAACGCGCTCTGCTTTGTTTCAGCGGAACACAAATATGTGGAGTTCGACTTCCTCATCCAGGGCCAGTTCCTGCGCCTGCCGCTGGTCACGCACATGGAGATGGAGAACATCTCCACGGTGAGGCCGCGGGGGGAACCGGGGAACGCGCTCGGCTTTTCTGTATTCTGTCTGACCCGGAAGTCCCCGCAAGTTTAAACTCAGTCTGAACGGCAAAATAACCACAGAGTGCAAGATTAGCAGCTTTGGACAGTGGAACACCATTATCCGAGCTCGTCTCTGTACCACGCTTTAAGTTCATCATTCACACGTGTTAAGGCCCTGCAACAGCAGTTACATTGAGGGCGAAGGGGGAAGTTAGCATCACCTCTAGAAAGCCAGACCCTGTGAATTATATTTTAGACACCAGTTCTAAGTGGTAGAAGAGGAACACGATAACACTGAAGATAATTGCTTTTGCTGTCAGCTTGCTGTTAACCGTAACTTGCTACAGCTATAGAGAAAGCAGCATCACTCACCTGACAGCTGCAGATCCACTAACCCGGAATTCTTGGTGCCAAGATCTCTGCCCAAAAAACTTGTACATTTGCACTACACTATGATCGTTATTAAGAAAAATAAAAGCATGCTAAATAAATACTTTCTTTGTGAGCTCAGGAAGAAGTGGTGGAAATAGAGTATGTGGAGAAATACATGGCCCCGCAGCCCGAGGAGTGCATCTTCCACGATGACTGGATCAGCTCTGTTCAGGCCACCGAAGAATGGTACCGCACTAAACCAGTTCTACAATTTTTCTTTCTTACTCCTGATGTATGCACAGGACTCCACGGTGTTAAATGGAGTGCTGTTCTGTCTCTTTACTAAACTTATTTTTTTCTCCTTGCTCCGTTTTTGACTTGTTTTTTCTTTTTAGCCTATCAAGTCCAACAGCTGCTTGCTTTTGTAAGTACTTTATAGTTTTAACACCTGAGAACTTGTGCTGAAGTCAGCACAGAACAAGACAAGTATTTCAACATAGGACTCTTACTAGAAATGGGTAATACAAATGCTGTTTACCATCTCTGAAAGGAAGCAAGATTTATGTATCTGTTTTAAATCTTAAATCTTTTTGACTTCAAATGTGGTGGGTGTACAGCAGCAAATACAACTGCATAGCTTTGTGCAGGGCTTTTCTTTAAAGCACATCATTGTCCTTAATCACTGTATTTTAAAATTAATTTTCCAATCCACTAACCCATGTTTCTGTACTAACGTATGGTTTGAAAATGCTCCAGGGTCCACCTGTTAACACACTATGAACAATAACATTTCATACATCATTTAAAAGGTAATTTAAGTCTCACCAACCAGAATATGCAGTACTACCATTGCTATTCTTTGTCCTGCACTCATAGCTTTACACCTACAGGCTTTAACAAAGCCATCTCAGGTAACCAGATACTATGTTCATATTCTTTTGAATTTCTGGCTTCATTGAAACAAAGATAACTTCAAAGCTTCAAAGATAACAATGTTAAATTCTGTGTCTTGCAGGATACTAACTGGCTGCTATGATCAGACTGCTCGAATCTGGTCTTTGGAAGGAAAATCCATCATGACAATAGCTGGGCATACAGAAGTAGTGAAGGATGTGGCGTGGGTGAAGCAAGGTCAGTATATAATAATTCAGTTTTTTGGGAGAAAAATGTCAGCATTTCTCAATCATGAGGAATGGTTAAGATCCAACTGCACTATGCAAGCAGCAACACCTAGAGCAAGTTGCCCACAACCATGTCCAGAAGTCAAGATATTAAATTATGTCAGCCTCTGTCAGTTTTTTTTTTTTTTTTTTAACCAAGTAACAGTGCCATTAAGACATTCCATGAACACTAATGAATGTAGTAGTTTAACATGCACATTTTCTATCACCCTTCCAGACTTATTTGTATTAGTTTTATTTGCAGGGTAACATGATGTGAACCAAGATGTGTTTACATCATGTTACTAGTAGATAGGGTTTCTATCTACTATTTCTTCAACTAGAACAATTCCTAGAAATATCTTTGAAAGCAAAGTTTAAGGTGAACATGCCTTCTTTCTTCCTCAGATAGTTTATCCTGTCTGTTAATCAGTGCATCTATGGACCAAACTATCCTCCTCTGGGAGTGGAACGTGGAGAAGAACAAAGTGAAAGCTCTTCACTGCTGCAGAGGACATGCTGGGAGTGTAGACTCCGTGGCAGTTGATTGCACAAGGACTAAAGTGAGTGACTCCTTGAAGAAAATCTTTGGATTTTGGGATGTTAGCAACCCATAACTTAAAAGAAACTTTTTTCCTGTCTAGTGCCAGTCATGATATTATTGTGACTGACACAGATACATTTCTATTCCTGTTAGAAATGATGGTTACTAAAATAATCCTGGAGTGCTGCAGGAACACTAGGTTTTCTTTTCAAATAAAGAGATGCAGTTACTCCAGTACTACAGAAGGCTAAAGGTGACTTTAAATAGAACAAGCAAGTGCTGCTTTTGATTTTTGAGAGTGAAGTTGAATGTTTACTTCTAAGGAAACCTTGCATTTTACACATATGAATGAGTTATAATGAACTATTTTCAAATTTTGCCTAAATTACAACAGTAATTTTGGATCAGAAAAAGTATTTCTAGAGAAACACTCAGAAAAAGCTGATGGTAGAAGAGGTACTTTCTCTTTCTGCAGGACTTGAACACTTAAAAGCATTCATACCAAAGGTAGAGTTGCCTCTCTCATCTTGACTCTATCAGACAGGTGAAAAAATAAAGTACTCGTGATAAGAAGAGAGAGATTTTGTAGATACTATTCCTGCAAGGGTAGGAAAAGGAGTAATTCAATCTGTACCTTTTTTTTTGTCCATTTGAGGAGCCCAGAATTGTCTGTTATGTATTACAATCCATTGGTTAATTTTTCAAGGAGAAACTGTACTTGGTATGGCTTGCGAGGTCTGACAGGAACAATTGCTAACAAAACGTTTCTGTTTGTTCAGTTCTGCAGTGGATCTTGGGATAAGATGCTAAAGATTTGGTCTGCAGGTAAGTTTAGGCTGAGATTCTTGGCCACATTCAGAACTGTGCTTGCAATAACCTGAATGATGGATACCTATCTTTCTTTTTAGGAAAATTTGATATGTATTAATAAAAGCAAGTTATAACGTTTGTTTTTGTTTTTTTGCAATAGCTTTGCAAGACTGTAAATAGCTATCTTAAGTTACTGTTTTGGATGGTAACAATTTCAGGTATAGCTTTGAACTGCCTGCTGCTGTTTATTTTGTTCAGAACACAGAACTTTGTGTCTTGTGTCCGTTTCATTTATTTTTGATGGGTTTATATAAACGTGCAGGTTTAAGTATGGACTGTAAAGCAAAGGCCTATGGGTTATTTTTCTGGTCTATTAACACCATAGTACGAAGCAAAGTAAGATAGTCAGGTCTTTCCTAGTAATGTAGACTAATTCTTTTCATTTGAATCTTTTTTTTTTATTATTTTTTTTTATTTTTTTTTTTTTTTACTGTTACAAGACATGTTCTTCTGGTTTAGGAGTATTTATGTGGGTACTATTTCTGAAAGGACAGTCTTAAAAATTCTGTTGAAACCTCTAGATCAAGTCTGACTGTCTTCTGTCATAGTCCCTACAGATGAAGAGGATGAAATGGAAGAAGCAGCTAACAGACCACGGAAGAAGCAGAAAACGGAACAGTTGGGACTAACAAGGGTAAGATGAGCTCCAGGCTTGCAGGAGATTTTGAAGTGCAGCCACAGAATATAATTTCTCTTTGTTAACAGTTATTATACAAGAAAAAAAAAAATCTTCGATGATATGTCTGAGGTAGATCAGACATTTTTATTTACTGAAAAATAGATATGTAAATTATGCTCATTCTAATCTCGCTTTTTAATCCTAGACTCCCCTGGCAACCCTCTCTGGTCACACAGAAGCCATCTCTTCTGTGCTGTGGTCAGATGCTGAAGAAATCTGCAGTGCATCGTGGGACCACACCATTAAGTTCTGGGATGTTGAGACTGGAGGTCTCAAATCAACTTTGGTAAGATCGCTGTACTTCCTATGTTCAACGATGCCCACCTTAAACAAAAATAACTATGCAAAAACCAACTAGTAGCTCCTCTTTTAAAGGGTTTTTTTTTTTTTTTTGACAGACAGGAAACAAAGTGTTTAATTCCATTTCTTACTCACCTCTGTGTCGACGTCTAGCATCTGGGAGTACTGACAGACACATCAGACTATGGGATCCTCGTGGCAAAGGTGAGGTGATAAACATGCATGTTCATGAAGGTGTTTTTCCAAAAGCATCTCAAAACTTGCCTTCTCATGCCTCTGCTAGAAATAAGCCATTTGGGAACTGTTATTAAATACAAAT